ATAGTCACTTCTATGGATTCACAGCAGTTTCTAAAGGTTACGGAAATAAAACAAACAAAAAACGAATAAGCAATCAAAAGCGATATACTTCGGTTTATTCAAGCGCTAAACAGGTGAATATACATGTAAATGGTAAATGTTGATGGGCGTATAATATATGTCATCCAATTCCAGTAGATGAGAGTGAATTTTAATTGCGCGGAGGCTGTAAATTGTTTTAATTATTACACGCTAAGAAATTCATACTATTAATTTGCATTGTACAAGAATAATAACATCAAAAATTTACTAGAATTCCTGTCATTAAAATTTTATTCTTGTGAAATATACGATCTTATGTTTATATCCCGGTTAATTCCCGGTTTCAAAACTGAATGAGTTAGACATCGTTTTTATCATGAAACGTGAATATAGCTTTTATGCAAATAAAAATTATATTTATAAAAATTTATTAAAAAATATATATAGTAAATATCGCATAAAAATTTATTAAAGATCGGCATATGTAAATTAATCGACAAATCTTACACATTTCCACATATTTCATAAATATAAATTTGCATTTTTAATATTACTTATATTTCTATTAACTATTTCCGTCATTTGCTATTCATTACTTTATATCCATTACAAAATTGGTAATTTATCAGTTGATACATTATTGACAAAATATGTTTGCAAGTAGTTAACATTAAAGATTGTTTATCTTCTATATTTTCGTTATTTTTGTTACATTTGTTATTTTTTACAGAAATATTACAAAAATTAAAAATTGTTTAGTTCAAGATAATTATAATATTAAATTATATGTTTTCGTAGAGGAGACATTTATGTTTTAATGAATTTATAACTTTTTTTCGTCTATTAAAATTCTTTCTAATTCCCTAATTTTGCGAGCACGTTCTAAACACGTAGCCGCTTAAACAAATATGTGTAAGCGTAAAATCAATGGTGGTCGAAAATTAATCAAATTGAGAACAGCAGACTAACAGATTTAGTGTGCGTATTCGTTAAAATATTTGTGTATACATGTTTATTTCCTACACGCTCGATGTAAAAAAATATCCGAAACCCGATACGTGGTCCGTATAAGAAGATATTGGATCCCCATATTGATCCATTTTATTCGAAACGAATTGCGTTTTCCTTCTCTGATCACGGATGCTTGTCATGGGCGAAACGGCCAAAAGCATCATATTATACGTATAACAAGAGGCAATAGTCCGATATATAAAAAAAAAAAAAAAAAATTAAACAAGCGATATTGATGTACGATAAATGAATAAAACCTTATTTGTATAAGTTTATTTTCCGATGTTTTATTGAAACTGTTAATTGCAAAATAAGGATTCTTTGTGACATATTACTCTTCTGTAAAATATCAAACAAACATTTTTACAATTTTATTATAGAAAAATATGGTTATTACTTGGATTCTTCCATCTAGCTAGCACATTAATTAATCATCAGTCTACCGGTTATTATCAATAAAACTTTACGCTTTTATAACGTTATAAAAAAACCTATAAATTATTTTTTTATAACGCTGCAATGTAATATATCAGCATGCATTAGATTACTTCGAAAAGATTTTAGGATTTTGCAACATCTATTGAGGTAATTCTACTAGCTTATATGAAATTTATATAAGTCTTAGCTGTCAAACCCCACCCTTAGTAGTGGATCTGCTGACATGTTTTATTGCACGTAAAGATTTACCACGCTTTACGTTCTATTTATTCTTATCAGATGTCTTTTGCACGTATTGAGAAAACAGGTTTCAGTAGAAGACGGATAAAGAATGAAATATTTGGTCGCTTTGAGTATTTCGCAACATAATGTTTATATCGCAGAACATTACAGAAGTGAGGAAATGTTAATATTAGCTAGAGGAAAGTGATAACGGTTATTATACAAGTGAAATACTTCATACAAATGTGTGTCTAGTACTTAATGACGAAGTCGTGTCTATATAATAATATTACACCTCCGCAAGAAAAGCGACACAAGTCAAAACTATCAAATTGTTCAAGAGAAACAGGAAAGAAAATTGCATTTTCTATTAATAATATTAGGAATAGATTTTTATCTCGAATTCTATCGCAAATTATAAATCGTCTGAAAGAAGCTTGATTTTACGAGAAATAATTTCACATGTCTATGCTTGATTAAACAATAATTTTAAATTTAATTATTTACGACAGTATTAAATATAGCGGACACACGCGGGAAGTATTTTAATTTAACTAGTATCACTTTTCTTGATTGAAGGCCGATGTATTTAGAAATCCGCAGATTAATACGAAATTCGAAAAATTTCAACTTGTGTCACTTTTTTTGCGAGGATGTAATATAATCTTCTCCTTCTTTCATACAAAAATATCCAAAATAAACGGTCAGCATTCTATCGCCAATAATATATTCTACGGTCATCGCTAAGCGGCTCATGAATAATTCAGTTATTAGGTGATATTGAAGATGATTTTAGCTTTATTTTAAAACAGCGAAAATACATACAGCATAAATTCAACAGCACGTGCATAATATTTCAACGTATACATTATGATGTTAATAGATTTGGAATTTACATAGTGAGAAAATAGGGATCATCACAATATCTATATTTCTAACCACGTATGCTTACCTCACTCCAGTCAATGGAATATCTAAGTAAGTTCCTTAATACACACTTAAGCCTCAGACATACGTGCCTGGCCTAAGAGTTCAACTCAATCATCGCTTGATTAATACTGTTACTATTGAAGAAATATAATATTCAGGCTTTAATTATTCGCGTTAATAGTTTCTTTTAATCCACCGAATCCCAAATAAATCTTTCAAACGACGTAGAAACCAGTATACTTTAATATGCATCTGTTCCTGAACGTTGTAATATAAATAATAATGTAAAATTAAAAAATAATTAATTTCTTTGTATACAGGGTGATTCAAAATAACCTGATGTCCTTGCAATGCCATATTCTTGAACGAATTCTGAGACGATTTTTCCTTTACAAATTTTGTCCAAAGCTTAGTTTTCGAGTTATAATTGAAAATAGATAGCAACTTACGAGTTCGGTACAACGGGCAGGCAGGGACGCGCAACGTATAATGAGACTGTCAAGTGTTTACTATCGTCTCATGACACATTACACCGTCCCTGTCTGTCCGTTGTATCGGACTCGTAAGTAGCAAACTATTTTCAATTATAACTCGAAAACTAAGCTTCGGACAAAATTTTGTAAAAGGAAAAATCGTCTCAGAATTCGCTCAAGAATATGGCATTGCAAGAACATCAGGTTATTTTGAATCACCCTGTATAATGCATGTATAGTATGCTAAATTATTTATTGAATATGATCTGCTTAATAATTAATAGAGCTTGGAGATATAAAATTCAACAGTGTATGTGTGCGTGCGTATATGTGTATGTGTGTGTACTCGTATAGAAATTTTATCTTTCATTTATGTACATATCGCAAAGCTAATGATGCCGTTTGTAATAATCTTGTGATATGTACCATATATAGGATGATCCACGAAACAGGCCGAGCTCTAGCACTTGTCCTATTGAAGATGGTAAAAGAAAACGTTAAATGGCATAATATAAAAAATTTTTCTATGATAAATTTTTCATTTTTATCTTAAGTGCAACAATGCACTAGAAAAGTGCAATTACTTTTTTTAATGAAATGAAAATATTGTATATATATTGTATTATAAATATGTACATGATCCATTTCAGTTTTTAAAGTCGGATTATTCGGATAGCCGAAAAAACAGTCATATCATATAATTAAATCAAAAATTTAATATTTTTGATTTAATTAGATTTTTGAATATATTTAACATCTTTGTATATAACTATATAACATAAAATATAATATATGCCAACATTGACCAATATTGCAAATAATTTAACCTTTAACTGTTCGCAATTTTGTTCAAATAGAAAATCAATTTCGCTATGACCAGATAATACGGTTCCAGTGCGAATACATTCATTATTCAAATTTACAAATTTTCGAAATAATTATAGTAAAATGGCAATAATGTTTGTAACTGGGTCGTAATAGCAATATATATGTAAACGGATTAAGTTTTATTGAATTTAGAAAAACTGGGAAATATAATGATTTAATGTGAATAAAATAATCAATCGCAATTAATGTGAATAAAATAGTCAATCGCATTGATAATAACCATATTGGATTCTTATCACTACGTTATAAATTCAGGGATATACTCTTGGGATATACTCAGGAAATGGCGACAACGTCAATATTAAAAACTTATTACTCTACTTGTTTGTGAGGGTGTTATCCGCTTCCTACAACTTCCTAGATAATACCGCCTTGATGAGAAAATGATAGCAAACTGCTGTCTCATATGCATATTTAGCTATTTACCAGAAAAGATTACTATCAACGGTAGTTCTCTATAATTTTAGGTTGTTAGATGCGCTGCATGGCAGCAAAGTGTTGTCGAGAGATTGATAATCAAATGTCTTTTCAACTGTATTGCTTTATTTGCAAAACTTCTCGCGTGCTTCGCATGAATAATATTTCTTTTTTTTATAAATGGAACGACCTAGAAAGGCATAATTGAACATAACAGAAAAATTTATTTTTTAATTGACAAAAAATTTTCTGATAATTTTTTTTTTAATTTTATAATAGTGTTCAATTATTGTGCAAAGAAAAGAGAGAAAATTTTCAATTAACGCTAATTATATTGTTGCAATATTTATATGAAACTTCTGCTTGAGAAATAATTTATATTATAATGCAAATTAATTTGTTCATTGCAAGGCAAAAAGATACGATTACGACATTCTTGTTGGTAATAGAAAGGCTTGAATTTTGTTTAAAAATGTGATATGTAAAAATTCATAAAAACATATTAACAAAGAACAACATAATAAAAATTCATAAAAATTTATTAACAAAGAAACATCTTAGACATGCCATATCATAACACCGTGCAATCCGTCTTCTTACCAAGTACAATCCACATGACAATGATATTGCCACCAGTTGCAATCAAAAGTATCGCTCCGAAAAGCAGCGACCAGCAGAGCTTAGGCCACCACGGCAAATCGAACGGCCGTTCTTGATTGCGAAAAATGCAATTGGACAGCGCCTCTCGAAGGATATCTGGTTGTGATGAATTGTTCAACGCTTCTTTAATAAAACGAGTGATCGATTCGCTGTGATTTAGCTTCAAGAGCAACGTGATATTGTGTTCGAAAATCCTTACAGTACAATTGTACAAACGTTCCATAGCTGGGTCACTCATATTTGCAATGGTTGCCTGCATGGTCCGCCTTTGGCGAAATCCTGGAATTTTGTTCTATCGCTATCTCTTTGTTCTCGCCTCTTCCTCCAAATAGCTCGTCGAATCGATTCTATCGGTCGTTACCGATATCCTGTGATTTGTGAGGCACAATGGGCTGGCGAGTGACTATCATTATAGCGGCTTAACCTGATTGTCCGTTTTTCATAAAAGAGACTAATACGCATTTATCGGTGCTCAATCGAAAGTAGTCTCGTACAGTTTGTCGTGTAATCAATCAAGATATTAGTGATTTTCCGATACTTGCTGAATTGGTCGAATATATATTTTATTCGCGCGTCTTATTTGGTTGATTTATGTTTTTTATCACCACATATTTTTTTGAAACTTTATTGTCCGCCAATTTAGGAGCATGATGATAAGATCGCCTACTAACAATAAGTCGGAACAAATGTCGCGCGCAATAATCGTATCTTCTATCACTTTTTCCCTCAAGAGACCTCGGATATCTACTTCATAAAGTCAAACCTTGAAGATTTACTTTTTGTCGATTGAAGAAAAAGCTGAAAAATTCGTTCCATTCTTCACATTGATTCTACAGAGTTACAAATTAAATGAATAAATTTTTCTTGAGAATCTTTTTATCTTGTTTAATATCTCACACTTTTTTCACTTTTTGCAATATCTTTTACAAGATATCGCGCTATCATGTTAAATGCATTCTCCGTTGAGTTTTTGATAACACCAATTAAATTTTTAAATACTCTGTACAAAACACATATATTATGCGAAATACAACTTTTACGTGAAACTTCTTCGTCATGAAAAGTTTGCGTTTATTGTTCGGAGGCGCGATATTGTCAAGCGGTGTATTTCTCTCCCGTCGCAATGCATCAACGGAAACCGCAAATTGTTGATGGTACAATCGCTTCAAAGTCATTATCACTGACAATAATAAACATCAAAGTTTATCATGCATTTGAGAAACCTGACGGCACGTATCGTAATTGTCGATTCCCGACTCCTGATTCTGTAGCTTTGTCAAGTAATCCCTTGAATCATTTATTTCTGATCGACTTGTTAATCACCGAGGGAGAATCATGAGTGATTCGCGCGCGCATGCCACAATCTCGTTCACAAACGGCTTAAGCTGCGGGGACTGCCGGTACCGCACCGAAGAACCCCATCGGCGAAACTGAACGCCTCAAAAGCGCGTTCATTCAGAGATGCGTGCGCACCGTGTGCGTCCCTTGCACCCCTTACCTTCGTCGACCACCCTCTGCTGAGACTTTCCACTTGGGTACAAGTGTCATGTGATGGGAAAATACGCGAATGCCTGCGCCGATTCGTGCCGGATATCAGCACATTCGATTTATGACAGCTATTCTTCAGGAGCTGAGAGATATACATCACGTACAGTGAGATACTTTTCAGATTCAACAGATGTTTTGCATTACGTGCAGGAATCTATCTAGGCATCCGGAATCGCTTAAAATATACTACGTAGGCGTCTCGTGTTGTAAAATGCAACATCACTATCGTTATAAAGATTATTTCAATATCTTACACAGTTCTGTACGCAGCTTGCATTTCAACTCGAAATTAAGTCAGTTTGAACATAATGATGGAAGATTAAATTTCCCACGTTATTAGCGACATCAGCGTCGTTAAAATTTTGTTTCAAGTAAGTTGAGCCACGGAAAGCGATTGCGTCATACAGTTTTAGTTTTATCGTTCTTTTTGCGTATAAGTTTTCACATGCGCTGAAAATGCATCAAACACTGTATTTACTTTATTTCTTATAAATACATTATATTGAGTATACCAAGTAAAAGTGTTTCTTGTTCTACGAATATTATTCGTTAACACTTATTTATAATACATAATAAGATTAAAACTTACCGAAAAACCTTCCACTTTCATAAAAATGTGCTTAACAATTTTATATTTTATCACAGATTTTTTACGAATGTGCAAAATTTTCAAAAAATATAATTACTCTAACTCATTCTAACCCAGAGTTTAATTTAATTATTAGTTATGCAAATTTGTTATGGAAAGTATGCACTTAATTATGCACGATATTATGCACCATTTTATAATTTTATAATTTTATAATTTTATAATTTTATCCGTTATAAATTACGCGTAACAAATTTTGACTACATCGAAAATTAACTTAATCTTTTTTACAGCCAAAATCGGATTTTCTAGGGATAAAACGTTTTGGGTGGCTTATAAGCGAATAAGGATAATATTACGTGCAGCATTTACCGGATGCCGTAATACTCACATCAGCGCATATATATACACGTGCTAAGCGTATAGTGTTCAAGAAATCTCCGAAAATACACGAATATTTGCTTTGCCAGCAGAGCTTCCGGCGATGGCAACATGGAATAGTAAAAAATATATTTCCTTGTTTATAGACGAAGATGAAAATTTTTAACACGTAAATTATTAAAAAAAGTACTTTATGCACGAAAAATACTTCCTTTTTCGCAAGTTTTCTGGAAAAAAATTTTATCTTAGTTTCTTTACGATTCGATTTTTACCAATTTGATTTTACCAATTTAGGAAATTTTATGGCTTTTTTTATAGACCATATGGATTGAATTCTACCCTTCGCATTTATTTGACATCTGTACAGCTTCCACACTGAAGACCTGTCAAGAAAAAATGTTACTTTCCTTATTCGCTCGAATAAATATGATAATAATCGCGCAACGACCGAGTTATTAGAGGTACCCACGCCACTTGTTATAGAATAAAAAATTATGACCCGCCAATCTACGTAATGCGAGCTTGTTATATCAACTCTGTGATCATCGTGAGTTTAACTTTGTTACATTTTTCGTGTAAGGCTACTGTTAAGTAATAATAAAAGCATATCGCGTGAGTTGCAACTAAATATAACAACGCGCATTATTACATATAATACAAACTGTATTATGAAAAAAATTATGAATAATGCTTGACATATAAAAAAATATATTCTTAATGCTTTCAAACGCTTTTTACGCGTGACGTTATATCAAAACATATTTTTATTAAATAGAAGTAATTTAATTCTATTTTAATGTTATTGTGCTTTATTCGTTGTAACTTTTCTTTTAAATATATATATATATATATGTATGTATTTTTTTTTTTCAATTTTTGACAAGAGCGGAAGCAATGTTTCTTTAAATGCGACAACTCGAATACGCATAGGTATCAGAAAACAGTACTTTGTCTCAGGTTGAGTTTGCATTTGTATAAAGTTTAAAGTTTACAGCTTTAGATGAGTACAGAAAAGAAAGCATCTTTCTTGTCGGTTCGCTACAACTCGTATCTAAGCGTTCAAACTCAAGTGAAAATGTAAAAGTATTCGCCTCACGTACAGTCAACTTCACGTTGAGATACCTCACCACATGAGATACAAAGATCTGCAGAAAACTTTTTATAGATATCTTAAAAAAGTGAGCCCGCGGTCGGTGTAGCAAACGACGACTACTTATTCAAATCTGGAAAAGCATGGAATATCTCCATAACAGTATCAACGAGTGGAGATACGCCATTTACCAATCTTTCAGACTGATGTTCCAGGCGGAAGATAAATGAATTAATTCGTTCGCCACAGCTTGAAGGAGACAATATTGACAGAAAGACGGAAAATGATTGAAATTATGCAGTAAAGTTTTAATAACTGACTTTTAAAGAAAACTTATCAAGTGATCAATAATTCATTTAACTTTCTAAAATCAAATCGTAAAATGTATGCAGCGCGATAAATCCTTTTTCGCGACATATGAATCTTCTTTGCGCATTATGCAAATGCTGAAGAATATTTTCCTGTGTACAAAAAATATTTTTTGTCCCAAATTCTTTATATGATTTCTGTACGCTTTTTCTAATATATCTAAAAGCTGACAGAAATATTATCGTACAAAGCACATGGCATATGAAAAAGTATCACAATTTTTTTTCGGAAAAAAAACCTGCGGTTTATATATGTTATATACATTTTCTTAGAAGCTTGTTGACTTCTCAGCTATGAACTATAATCAAGACTCAAATCTCATTACTTAGATGAGAACGAATATGCGATCTGAAGAGATGAAAATAACTTGATTGACTGAGATATATTATAATTTACTTGGTAGATTTCGTTATAAATAATGCTACATGTTATGCTATTTTAGTACACAAATTAAAATATAAAAACAATATTATTTTTAACATAAAAAAGGATCATTTTTAATCGATAAAATGGCATAAGTCACTTAAATGTTGACACTTCCAATTAAATATGTGTGCATAAAAATAATACGAAGATATTTTTACGCGCAAAGTAATAAAATTAAAATTTACTATTTCTAACTTCGCACTTTTACCTTAAAATGTAATTTCTTGTACTATTTTACACGTGGAATATGGATAAAGTCGTATTTTTAGATTGAAATGCTATAAGCAAATCCCACTCGTAATTTGCTTGCACAGAATCAAATCTAAAAATTTCAAAAGTCAAAATTTTGCTCATATAATTATGTTGAAAATTTTTATGAGAGAGAGAATTATTCTAGTTCCATTTTAATAAATTAAATTGAAAACTCTATTTTGCTTCAATTGTATGCTAACTATGCTATATATTTTACATTTTTTGTTAAATATGACAGTATTGATTTTTAAAGTCTCGTTGAAAAATTGTTTCACGCATGTTATTCAGAAGCTAGGACAATCGTATGCATTTGTATATGCACAATATATTAATATCCGTCTAAATCTTCGGAAAAACGCAGATGTTTGTTGGAACCATCTGTTGCGAAAATATCGACGTTCCTTGCTCACAACTTATACACAAACTCCAAATATTTCGCACGATTCAGTATGCAAAGTAAAGAATAAATTACAAAAATATATTTCTGAAATTATTTAAACGCGATTAAATATCCCAAATGAATAGAAGGCGTTAAATATTTAAAGTACATTATTTTCGAATACATACTTTCACAGTAAATGTATGTACATGTACTTACTGTTTACTAGAAATACCAGTGAAATCACGAAGAAAATGGGTAAATTTTGAAGTATAATTCAAATGAATATTATATGATTCAGAAGGAAGTCAAATTTGTTTGTTCGCGTTTCCATAAATAACTTATGGATTAGAAATGAAAAATATCCTACACGTAGTAAGATATTAATAGAAAAATAATTTATATAAAAGATGCTTAAAAAAGCTATATGGAATTTTTAATACATATTTGTATAACTGCAATTTGTAATGGAAGATTTGGTTTCATTTTTAAATATTCATGATTTTATCATGTACTATGAAGAATAAAGCTTTATCATACACATCGCGGTTTCGGTCAAGCGAATAATATGGAAACAATGTATACTTGATCAAGATTAAAGCAAGAGTTTTGTTTAAGTAAAACTTAGATTAAATGCAAGTTTAACCGAAGATTATCTTTAAAGAAAACGAATGTTTAAACCAAATTACCCTAATCAATCTTCGAAAATAACCAGAGAAGCTACCAGAGAATCCAGTTTAGAGTTTATATAATAAATAGCATTATTATTCGCTTGTCTTATCATTTTCGTTTTTTAGCAGTGTAAGTAGTCTTGCACAATTTATGATATACAAATTATTCTAATAAATTATTTTGAAAAAAAAGATAGAGAACTAAGCAAGAAAAAATTAACCATTTATTTAATTGCTATAATTGTAAAGTATCTGAATTAAATAATTCTTTAACGCTGACTTTTACGTCATTTTACGAATCGCGTATCATTAAGAAAATTATTAACGATGGATTTCAAGTTTTTAATAGCGCAACAAGTTTCATAACTGCTCTACTAGGTTTATCAAATTATTCCATTGAACAGCAAATTTGTGGGGATTTGTGGATTTCACCTAAATTTAAGCCCTTTTCAAGGCTCGCCTTTTCTCTATCTTGCGGTTTCTATTCACTTTAGTGTATGCAGTATCACGTCCTGCGTTAGGTATAATTAGACTAGCATTTAATTAAATTATTTGCCATTGATTCTAGTCACGAACTTACATCGTATACAGATATCATAATCAGTTACAAAGCTGCAACGCAATTTGTTGAACTAAAATAAACTAGTATTCTGCATTTAAACGACTTATGAGAAAGTGCAAGATTAATGATGAATTCAAACCAATTATTATTACGATATTATTGATACGATAAAATATAATATAATATGTACGATAATATAAAATTTATGAAGTTGAACATTTAAAGTACTACAAATTACTGTTTTATTATTATAAAATTTTGAACGCTGTAATATTAAACATCACACATTTCTAATTCTATAAGAAACAAACATTTTTATAAAACATAATAACTTAAAAAACACAATAATATTAAATTAATTAAAATGGATGGGCAAAAATTAATTTTCATAATTTTAAATTATATCACTTTTCTTAACAAGGCTTGGCTACAAAGTGACCTAAGTTATCGATTAGAATTTAACACCAGCGCTGTATGCTTAACAACAAATAGTAATATAATAGTTTATTATTAAATATCCGCAAAGGAGGGGACTAGATATCCTTAGCTACAATGGCCAACAAGAGTTCTGCAGAAATCTTGTTCTATTACCGACCGTGAAACTTATTTGAATTATCAAAAATATGATTTAGCAAGTTTACTATCTTATAATAATTATAATAATATAATAATTATTGTAGTTATACATTGTAGTATATGTGAGATGACTTAGTAAAATTCTTTTCAAATCTTTTCTTTCTTCCTAGCTACATTATTGATTGATTATTGAAACGAATTATCACCTATCGAGCGTTTAATTCTTTAATAAATGTGTAGGAAATTAATTTAGATATATTATTGTCTTTGTATTTTATTGTCTTCGTATTTCAATTTTATCAATATATATCAATTTTATTTAACTTTACTTACTTGTTAAATGATATCTTCTTCATGCATACACTAACTATCGTTTATATCAATCGAAATTTGATATGAACGTCGATGAATCCTATGCAGGTACCAATTGTCAAAAAGAATTGGATACCAGACAGTGGTATCCTGTGATAGTTCAATAGGTTTCATTTCTGTTGCAAGTATCCGTGTTACAGTGAATCATCGCAATATCTTAGTAACTGAAAAAAATCAATAAGTACTTTTAATCACATTATTGAAAATCAGATTGTTAAAAAGTTTATACAAATTGATATAACTGCTGGCAATCAGATGTCGCCACATTTACTATTTTTGTTTTTAGAATTTGGAATCCTATCATTTGTCATTATAAGTTATTGTTATTTTTAATACTTCAGACTTTTACTCTCTGATTATATAAAATCAAACTTTACATTGAAATATTTTGTTATTTTGTGTATAGCAAAATAGCCATGATGACATATTAACTTATCGCTAAACTTATTTTGAGAAAGTTAAACAAATTTTATTATTATTAAATTGCTAATGTTTAATTTTTTATATTCGGAATTTTTGTAGATCACACGAAACATTAATACTTTAAAAGATTTCTCATGTTTATCTTATTAATATGCAACTATTTTTTTAATAAATACGAGTCAATATGAGGAACAAAGATTAGTTGACATCGCATTTTTTCACTTTATTATAGTCGCTTTTATACTTACAGGTTCTGGTAATTAAGTATCATTTATATTTCAGGATGCGTATCATTATATTTATGTGCATTTTCGCACGCATGGCTTGCACAGATGCAATATAAATAAAAATTGATTACTATTGATTAACATCTATGTCACAACTTCGTCCAACCTTACTTTACTCACATATACTTTAATTAAAATTGCCAATTTGCAATAGACGTTTGACGTTATGCGTGGCGAATATATTTCTAAATATCGATCATATACTCACAATCAGAGAGCAACATGTTGCATTATTCTAAAAGTAGATTATAAAGCATTTGCATGATTACCACAACATACACTACACAACAGATTGCTTATAAACTATATATACGTACTCAATTTTTTTTATAACAAAAATTCCGATACATTTCGACATATAATGCTGCAAAGTGTATAAATTTTGCGGGTTTATCGCCAAAACAATCTTTCAAATTTAATAATTTGCATATTTCACAATTAACAATTTGCAAAATTGTAATGTTTTTAACAAAATCTTCTATTTTTATCTCTAACAAAGTTAATTTTATACTTTTTTTATATAATACTATTATTTGAATATAATTTTCAGTATACATTTAGTAGAAAGATAAGAAGAATAAAAAATAAGAATAAAATATACGTAAACTTTTATTAAAATGCTAAATTCAAAAATTCTTAAAATCAAGATTATCGGACGAGCAACATGTATTGTCTATGATTTAAAAACAACTGCATTTTGAATTTGATTTGCTATCTTTTTTTAATGTAGCTGTTTTTTTTTTTTTTTTTTTTTATTTAAAAAATATCATAATTATGAAATTGTCTTATATCATTATGTATGTTATAAGATATTGTAATTGTAAAATAAATATTTTAAATACTCAATTCAGCTTTTGATTGTACTGCTTTGTCATTAATATATTTGTATCCATGTATCCTTTAATTTTAACAAAATGATTTTCGCGAAACGTACAAGTAATTTGAGGCACATTTCAATATAATCCGCACAAAGCAACCGCAAATCAACAGGAGATATTCTCATTATGTGAGTTGTTTACAGATGAAAAATTCGTTATTTGCATTTCTCACGATAAAATAAAATTAAAATTGATCGAACATAAAACGCACATTAATCATACGTTTTCCGTCCCGTTGCGCATAATTTTGACAATCGTCCATTTCACGGACCTACAACGAACAATCTACAATAAAAGCTTGACCGCGAGAGGGAAATATAATCTGCCAATATATACTTTCTCCACGATCGATGATCTAGACAACATACGCTTTTTATACGATCGCATATAGGCTTCATGCGGCTATTTTTATTACCTGCACTTCTTTTAACCGTGCTATCGCCTAGAGCTAATTATATTTATTTGCTAGATATTGCACCGTCTACGGTCTTCCTCTTCTTTTCTGTTTTTAGCACTACAGCCTTTACTGTCTACCCATCATTGCGCTACGTATATATGTATATATGCATCGACACTACATAGTACAACGTCCGCATAATAACTTAAGTTATTTTCCTAGTCTGTTATCTCTGTACAATTAATCGCACCGCTATTCTGTGCCCGCCGCACATTTATCATCCATTTTAATATAGACTACATATTATACAGAGAACTTCTCTACGTTAGCTGCGACGTATCGTTTCCTTCTCGACCAGTTAAGCTGATCATTGGACTTAAGTCTTAAGCACACAAAGTACCATTCGCACTGACCGACTACATCATCGCCTTGATCATATCAAAGTGTTCCCGCAGACATGTTTCGATACAACTTGACCCCTTATTGATGAAGCACAATAATCATTTACGCTATGTCCTATTGCTAATAATAATGACGCCAACATATTGCGTTCTAAGTAGCCAAGACACAGAAACGTATCGAGAAACGATTTTCTTCGATATTCATTGTTATCGTAATAATCTTTTACATCTTTTTTTTTTCATGAGAAATTATTATCGCATATTATTCTACTCTACCATCTACATTACGTCGCAAAATTAAAAGCGATATCTGCGCATAGCATTGAGCGAATCCCAAAACTTTTTCATGCCAGAAAAGCAATGCAGGAGGTTTTTTTAACGCTAGGAAATAATACAAATGTATCGCTAATTTATGCAAGCGATTCTTACGCGAATAAATGATTTATATAACGTTCCGTGTTAGTGTTTCCGTGAATGAATAGAATTGTATCTGGCGTTTTAATGTTAAGATGATCTTAACACTTATCACGTACACAACTGACAGGTGAGGTATTCGGATTAGGTTTAATTAGCATAATGAAAAATCGGGATAACTTTTACTATTGGCAGTGAATTTTGGAAGATATCCAAGTGACAAAATGTCCCCCGTGGCAATTTTATAAGATGCAGACCATTCACGCAGTGCGAATGTAAAACTTCGTTACTTCGGGACACTCTGTACTTTTTATGGAAGAACGCGACGCGCTTTTAGCGGTAAGAGGTTGTAGCAGGAATATCAGATGAAATCTGTGAGCGCAAAGCGACTGCATGCATACCAAATTATATAAAGGTAGAAAACTATACGATAAAGTCTATAACGATAAAAAATTTGCGGTTATTTCCGATCGATCAGCAATTAAAGACGATACGTACTTGCTTATTGAGTGCTACTCCTAATCGTACGTATTATATCTACATGAGGCATAGAAACGGGAATGTCACGGCTAGGAAAAAGGTGTACCTTTTACGAGAATCAAACCGACATTGGCTCAAAGTCGATGTGACGCTCAATCAAGAACCTTTTCTACTCGTCCAACTTCGTAGCATGTAACAAGTTCTATAGATTTTTGGAATTATTTAGGCTGGCAAAATGCCAGAATTTTACTTTAAATTCTAATTAAAAGCTGCGCTTAAGATATACTCATAGTATCCAAATGAATATATTGTCCTTTTTGTCGAAATGTACAATGTATAATGATTGAAAAGCTGTCGAATAATGAAAAGATGTATCAGTTATTCGTTTAAGATATTCAACGTGAGAATGTAATTGATAGTAAATTAATACAATACGGCACATAAAGCACTGATGAATCCACTCCGCTAACAAATTAATAAATTGATGGTGCAAATAATATAACGGGGAAACAGTAATTCATTTATCAAAATAACGCAGCTTTCGTAAAAATGTGACTCTGATATAATATAAATATAAAATTGTAAATTTGTTTCGTCCACTTACTTTCTCGATAATTAATCGATTTTGCAATCTGACACAATGTAAAAATATGACCTAAATTTAAGCATGATTCAATCATTTATCACTCTTACCATTTAAAAGCATTGCAGCTATTTTTAATTATATACGATTTTAATCATTCACTTCTACTAATTAAGAGAAATTATAATTTTGATTTCCTGAAATTATGTGTGTAGTATATGTGTGTGTTTGATTAATCCGCAGTAGAAAGATAATATAGAAGTAATGTTTTTGCGAATGTTATTAAAATATGACGAGGTATGTGGGTATAAATTACTTACTATATCGATTTCCATTTTGTCAACGGTTTGCAGTAATCGCGAGATACACACGCGCTTTATGTAAAATGGAATTAAAAAATTAGGCGTTGTTGGTATATTTTTAAAAATAAGCAATACTGAAGCGTTACCGGCTTCGTAAGTTATAATCACAGTCTGCTGTTAATTAATTGTTCACACCTGCAACATATTAATTATCGCAATGAGCTTTTTAATTAAAATATAATGAAAACAAACGGTAATTACACAGATAGCTTACAATAAAGTATAATAAAAAACGATGTTAATTATTCAGTTAAAAATAATTAGCTAGCATTTTAATATTAGCTAAAAATAACCGTTTTTAAACACTCATTGAGATAAAATATTTTCTCAGACGCGAGCTTATTGCTACAAAACATCAATCAGGCATCGACGGGAGCTCGTTTGTAAGGAGAGTACCAAGTGTCACAAGACTCGAAGAGAAAAGGCCTGCGCATTAGGCCATCTCAAGGCAGTGTATATTCCGATCCACGATCGAGAGCCGTAAGAAAATCGTCAATTGCTCGGTACCTCTACGAGGCGAGCTACCTCGAGCTGATTCGTTGTTCCTAAAAAAAAAAGATAACATGTTAAAGAACTTGTGAAATACTCGAAATATTCAGGGAATTAATAACATATGGTAAGCGCCGCGAAAACGCTCCACGATTACTGCGCGTATGAAGAAACAGTTTTCTTTATTCGAAGCGGCTAATTGTTTCATGATACAGCCGGCTGTCAATATCTTATGTTTAATATCTTCACTTTTCGTCTTTCGTGATGAACGATTCTTCCTCGTTCGACTACCACTAAAGCTTACGATTAAACTAAAGCATAATTACTATTCTATCCGTAATGTTCCCCGTAGCGTCAGATTTCGCAAGCTCTCTACGGCATTAGCGTCCACGTCGTTCCATGAATCGCGAGTTTATTATTTTAGGACTGCAATGTGTTTATTATCATGGTACACATACATATAACTGTCTAGGGCTACTTGTACACACACCTACGCGCGTCCTGAGCACATTACATAAAGATTAACAAATATTCACACATGTATACAACATATATACATACTGGGTATGACTTTCGAACGGCTCGAAGTGCGCTGCGACATTTTATGTACAAAAGGCGCGTGATGCTCGGCTTCGCCGGCGAGTCTTACATTATTATTTCCATTTTATTATTGTCCGAGTCCACCACAAATTATTACGACGAGCGAGTATAATTCGGTGTTAAGTGTGGAAGGCCATCTTCTCCGCGAAGGGAGTCCGCGTCGCCTACGTTTAGCTACATTTATCGAAACGAGTGCTGCTGCTCGAACTGCTGCCCTGTTTTACGTCATGTGCAGATCGCCCTTCAGTATCCTCGTGAAGGTCTTCTTGAATTGCTGATTCGCCAGGGCGTAGCAGAACGGATTCATCGGACTGTTGGCGTAGCATAGGAAGTACGAGAACATGAAGAGATGCTCGTTGGTGCACGGCGGATTCGCGCAGAATCCCTCCACCAGCGCTAAAATGTGATAAGGCGTCCAACAGGCGACGAACGCACCCAGAATAAAAGATATCGTGCGGAAGGCTTTGCGCGCCCTATTCTCCGTTCGCGACTTCTGTCGGCCTATCGTGGGATCCTTCTTTTGCGTCTTTGCTTTCAGCCGCTTGCCGATGGACTTGACGAAGTCCCGTCTCGAGCCGCTCTGCTCCGCGTCCGACGTGGCGTCCTTCTTCTTCGAAGACTGCCTCTTCGTCTCCTGGCTGTTCGTAGTGGGCGACACCGTCGGCATTATGCTGCTGGATGACGAGTTCTGAGGCAAGTTGCTGCTCAACTTGGTGGCCTGATCTGAAAATCGATCCGTCATGCTGTTGGACGATTCCATCGCTATGGCCGCGGGTGTCGCGACCACTGTCGTAACCGGTTGACGGGGCTTCGCCCCGTCAGTATTGACGGTGACTTCCGTGTGCACTTTACTGACGGTGTGCATCTTGCTGACGGTGGGCGACGTCTGCGACGCGGCGTTCGTCTGATGAGTGATGAACACGCGCGGCGGATGCGTCTGACTCGACGCGTTAGACATCACCGGCTGTGGATGGTGCTGATGATGTTTGCCAACGTTGATCTGAACCAGCTGGCCGCCGCCGCCGCCGCCGCCGCCGCCGCCGGTTTGCTGCGCTGTTGCTCTGATAAGAGCGGCCTGCAACAGGCGGGTGCCCGCGCCGGCCGGCACCGTGTTGCCCAGGATGGGCGACGGCGGTGCCGTGGACAGCGGATTCGCCAGGCTGCAGGAGAAGGAAGACGGTGGGCTCTCGTAGGAGGGACTGGGTAGAATGATGGAACTCTCATCCATGTACCGCAAATCGCCGCCGTCGAGACCGGTAAGGATGTCGTAAGTGCCTTGAGCCATCACCAGCGACTTTGGCCGGTCGGTCGTCATCGACGAGGATGTCGTCGGGCTTTCCGAGACCGGCGGGCTGCTTTGGAACTGCGTGGGCGGCGGTATGATGTTCTGTTGTACGCTATTGATCGACGGGTGCTTAAGTTGAGCGGGCGGTGTCGCCTCGACCGAGGCGATCGATTGTTGATTGCCTTCGGCGTCGTTCGATTTCAAGGATTGCTCGGGCGTCAGCGTGCGGCTGCTGGACTTGTCGGCGGGCTCGGCGGGATTGTCGGTGTCCAGCAGACTGAACTCCTGTATCTTCGGCAGTGTTTGAGCTTTCTGCGTTGCCATGTCGCGCGTAGGACTCGTCGGCAGTAGCTTCCTGTTCGCCGTTGGCACACTCAGCTCGACCTTGACCGGCATGATGCCGTTCAAGCGTCCGTTGGTGGCGAACACCTGGAAAGCACCGGACTGCGCTACTAGACCCGCCAGAGAGGACCGCTTTCTGATGGTGCTGAGCTGCTGAGCGGTGCCGACGGTGCTCTCCTCGTCGGAATCGAAGGCAGGACTACTCGAGCGTTCGGATTTCTCGGCTTCCGTCACCGAGATGTTCGCGAGGACATTCTTGTTAGCGGAGTCCGACGCCGCCGCGGAGTCGGCGGTCTTCGCGACTGTTTTCTGCGTGACCGTCGCGTCCGCGCTAGAGACGCTGTCGTCCACCAACGTAGTCCCGATCTTCGGCTTGTCCTGGCTCAACAGGGTGCTCTGAGTCTTGGAGATGCCTATACCGGCGGCGCGACCAGCCATACCGGACATCGCGCCGGCGCTCAACGCGACCATCGACTGCATCTTGCGCTGCTTGGCCTCGCTCTTCTTCTGCATGTCGTACGCGGTTTTGTATATGCCGCCGTAGAGAATGAACAGGACGATCAACGTCGTCCAGTAATATCCTATTATCAGCGCGGTGTTGAACACTGGATCCTTGAGGAACTGCACGGCGCACTGGCCCGGATTCAGATCTCGATAACCGATGAAGTGCTCCCAGCCGAAGATGCTGATAAAAAAGAGCAGCGCCGGTATGATCCAGGTGATGGTCACCATCCAGATCACGCGCTGCTTCGTCCGCCAGCTGCGATACTGCGCGGCTATCTTCACCGAGCAGAACCGATCGATCGTGATCAAGAGAACGGTATACTGGGACACCAGGCATACGGTGTAATCCACGGACAGCCATAGATCGCAGAGAAGAGGACCGAGATTCCAATATCCCATCAGCACGTAGACCGTGTAGAACGGCATCGACACGGTGCCTGCGTAACAATTACGTCGTTACTTGTACAGTCGGCTGCTGTTGCCGCGCGTATCTGATTACGCGTATTCTGTATTCGAACAGATTCCCGCATCGTAACCAAATTACATCGGCATTGTTTGATTCTCATCTCGATGAATACAACGGCATCCTTTCATAACTGGCGAATTTGCGTTAGAAATCATATCATCGCGAGAGGCTGCGTGAATCTCGTGCTATTAAATATCAAAGAATGTGAATAAAAATGCAAATGTGAATCAAGTTCAGTATTGGAACTAGAATATACAAAATCTGTAAAAATTTTATTTTATTTTTATATATTAATAAATATAACAAATATGTTTATTCGCAGCAATATTAATATAGTCCATAAATAATATTGCTGTAAAGATTTTGTGCTGCAAAAGTCATTTAATATTATCATGTGGATTATTATTACGTGATATTGATATCAAATATATCTAACATAATTGCAAAATTGTGAATTGTTGATAAATGTTCTCAAGAGACTGAGTGTTGATCCTAAAAATTCTTAAATAACCAATGATTTATTTATCAATATCAATTTCTAAAAATAATTTATCTAATTTATAAAAATAATATGTTTACCTTTAATGTGTTCTTTGCTTCAGATATTTATAAAAATATTATTTTGAATATAGCGTGTGATTTATGTTAGATATTCTTGGATAGAGTTAAGTTTAGATAAAATGCGCTTTCGATTATGGAACGACATAAAATTGAAGGGGGAAGAAAAACGAAAGTCATATACAACTTACCGATAAGCATATCTGTGGCAGCTAATGATGCGATGAAGTAGTTACTTGGTTGCCTGATGGCTCTATCTACGATGAATGCCAGAAGAACGAGAATGTTACCGCCGACAGTTAGCAGTATGCATATCGCCAGACAGATAGCAATCAGTACCGTTTGCCAGAGCGTGAATGGTGGCAAAACGGGCGTCAGAGATTCATCTGTTTGTAGATATAAAGCTTTATCAGCAAACGGCATGTAAATCGTTAATCGGTGCGTGACGTTAATAATGGAACGCGACGGCATACTTTTAATGAACGTTCGCGTTAAAATTCTGTCACAATTCGAAAAAGCGAGAATTAAATAGTTATAACTTCAGAATTAAAAGCATTCCGAATATCTCGTATACGTAATTTACGATGTAAAAATTCTGTTTCCGTGAGTCACTCGATGTATAGCTTAATTTCAATTACATTACCCAACGTTGACGAAGTCGTTGCGTTTCCGAAAGTCGAGGTATTCGTCACGTTTATTGGGAACCAATCGGGCAGAAGCTCCGCGTATTCACCACTGCTCCAGCGCGGATCATCCGGGTCAGGCCATGTTCCATTTAACTGGGTACATTCTTCTGTCAAAATTTGATTGTACACGAATCGGCATAGGCGTTCCCGTTGTCTCTTCAGCTTCCTAGGAATGAACAATGAAGAGAGTTTCTACCATCAATTGCAAAATCATAAAAAAAACATACCACGTTTGGGACATATCGCGCGAGAGTGGATGAAAAATCCATCGCGATAAAATTCTTTCGCCAGTCAATGTAAAACAACGCCGCGGCTTTCACAAAAATTGCGCTCGCGTGAGATATTACCATTTAAAAATTTTTTTTATCTATGTAATTTGACGACAACAATACAGGATAAAATTAGGCTAATGATACGCACCCAAAATAAAGCGCTAAGCATTTACTTAATTACAGATTGGATGGGATTGTGGATTAATTCCATTTACGCCCAATGGCTATTTCCATCCACACGTGTAAATTACATTTTACACATAAAAGGAAGTTCGATAGTTCGGTGAATCGCGTTCCTATTCCTTCGCCGTGGCTGCATGTTTGTTACCATCGAAGAAAATGTGACACCGGTATTTCCTGATTCTCTACACAGCGACATGCACGGCCTTACTCTCTGGAGCGTTGCTGCAATGGCAACACGAGAAGCGAGTCAAAGGCTGAATACACCGAGCGCACAATGAGCTTGAAATAAGCATGAATGGAACCACATCAAACCCCCGCGCCAGTCTCATCGCCGGTAGGCAAAAAGCGACAGGGTACGCCTTAAAGAGGGTGAACTCGTTTTTAAATCATTCAAGTAGTCGATCGGAACCCACGTAGTCTGATATTGCGCGACTCTTTACGACTCGCAATTCCTAACAGAAGTTCACTTTGTTCACGTCGATCAAATTGTTCTTATCGATATTTTATCAATTCACAAAGCAAATAGCGCTCCTTCTCCATTCCTGTATTTATTCTCGCGTGTTGTTTGTGATAAATTAAAATATTTTCAAAATGTTAAAAAAACCTCCCTTGATAAACAATTAAAAAATTATCCAAATAAACAAAATATTAATACTAATATATATTAATTAACAAAAAAAAGGAATAAAATACTGTCCCGCAGCGTTGTTACAATCGTGAATTCTGAAATATTTATAAAAGTATTACAACAATTTAACATGCCGCTTGAAAGTAAAATAATACAAACACTTCGTGCATGAGCTGCCAATGCAGTTCCGGATACTTGCCAACCCCTTGTCACACTATTATGAGATTGAATAGAAGCTCCAACTCCAGCTTAGCAAGTCGTTTCAGTGAGAAGAACATGAGTCATAGATTATCTCGTCTGAAGTTCGACTGAACTGGAATTCTCGCGAGGGATAAAGCCGTTTGAGTATATGACCCACGATGCGCGTTCGTGATTCTCGTGCTTTCTTCAAAGAAATTCTCTGCATCCAACGTCGACAAGCGTTATATAACCATAGAGTACATTGACACGCTGCACGAGCTAATTCTTTGCATGATCCGCGACCATTCCGGCGGTGAACACATTTCTGTACACTATGTTATTTTTAATTTTACAGAATCATTGATTTATCGATCAAGATGCAATGTAATTTTTTTAATTAACTTTCAATCAACTTTTTATTTAACGTTGTGCGATCGTTAAATTTTGTACAAAATAATAAATCTGTTTTAACAGCTAAAAACCGTGTTTACAAAACGATTGTAAATTTGCAAAATTAGATACTTACGACTTTATTGCATTTTAATGCGAGAAAAATTGAATGTGCTCATTAAATTAAATGTGATTTGTCGAAACTAAGTACTTCCTTCATTAATTCTCAAGAGCTTTTCAATGCTAAAACACTTACAGCGCCGGTATACTTCCTGAAAATTTTATTTCTGCAAATATTGAAATTCGCGGAAAAACGAGCCTCAATTCCCATCGTACGTTACTTCAACTTTCAGCAAATTTTACAAATTGATGAGTTTCACGTTAACATTATTGCGATGGCAGGTCTCTGAGCGCGAGTACCTAAGAAAACCGCGGGAATAAAGAATAGGGTATGAGATCCTTTGTTTCAACGTTCCCTAGGGTAAATACTTGTCCTCGTTATTCGTGAGCATCTTTCTTGTGTAGCCCTACCGTGAAATCATTCGTAAATACTTGTCCTCGTTATTGCTGCACTCCTATTTCGCAAAGCTATTATGAAAATGTCCATAAAAAAAGAACCGACCACCTGTAATTATCTGAAAATTTAGTCGTTCCTTTTAAGAAAAAAGCAATTTTAAGGGGAGAACGATGTCAATAAGAAATAAAATCTCTACGCAGAAAAGAAAAAATTGTGCTGATATGACATCACAAGTTTCGTTAAGTATTATATGGAATAATTGTAAAAATAAACAAAAAATTTGTTAAGAATACTAATGTTATTTATTTATTTAATTAATTTTGAAAAATTAATATATTTTAATGACAAATAATTGTAATTAACAAAAATGATAAAAATTTATTAACATAAATTATAAATATTAAATTCTACGAATTCTATATTCTTTATTTTGCAAATAACACGTCCATTTTATTATTTAAAAATTTAAATCGCAAATGAAAAGGTATTTAATTTCACGGAATAAGATTGCAAACTGATTTGCCACTTTGAACGATATAATAAAGAAACTTGTAATTTGATATTCAGTTCACATCTCTTTTCTGACTACAAGCTAACTCAATCCATTGTAAAATGACGTGAACTGCAGCAGCTACTTCCTGTTATTTACGTAAGCACAGAGTATCAACATTTTAGAAAGTCTTTTTATCACAGGAGAGGAAAAAAGCAGCAAGAAAAAGGCAAAGGGTGTTACAAGATGAGATACACGCAGGTGGATCATAAGACACGCGGGGAGAAACTAGCTCGCCAGAAAGATATACCTCCTGAACCTTCACACATAAAGCTCGGCTTCATTAATGCTAAAAATACTTACTGCATGCCAAGCAGACAATGATATGTAGCCGATACTGTTTTAAAACTGTATGAACAGATTGAAATTTATTTTCACATATTTAAAAAGTCAAACGTTCCTTATAAAACAAACACGTAAATTAAAATTTAAAACTATAGATTCAGATTTTGTAAAAAAAAAAAAGAGCAAAAGATCGCTCGACGAGAAAAAGTTCGAAAATCTAACAGATTTTACATTCGATAGTTTCGTATAATACAAAAAAATTGTTCAACATTAAAATATACAATTCTTATCGTTCGCATCGTCTCGCGGCATTTTTAATGCTTATAAAAGCAAGTACACTTCGAGTTCAAACAAGTGCTCTGATATTTTCGCTCGTATTCCTTGCACTTGCTTCAAGAGATAAAAGCAGAAGCATTTGCTCCATTTTATTCACGCGATCCATTGTTCAGCACATTCGTCGAGTGTGACTTGTCAGCCCGCGCCAGCTACACGCTAGTATCTTGCCAGTCGAATGGACACCGAGCCGGTGTATCGAATCGCGTGGACATTCGTTAACACCGTGGCGCAATAACGCTCAGTAACAGAATGTGTATACGTCCCTTTTAAGGTGTGCGGGTTTTGCCGGTGTACATGTACCGAGAGGGTGGCGCAGGGTGGAGGCTATATAAGCCCTAGTGAGCAGAGGATCATCGCCGTGGAATGGCATGATCATACGGACGGATGGAAGGGCCGTTGGAGGGAGAAAGGCTGAGAGGGCGGCTGAAAGAGAGGAGCGAATAAAAAGTTGGACCGCGTTGTAAGCGGGGAAAAATTGCGAGGAAAGAGACGGCGGTGCAGGAATACGGAATATGACGGCAAGCGACGGCAACAAGTACCTGGTCGACATCGTTCCAGCGTGTCGTAAATACTCACGAGCGAGAAGCTTGGTTCGATGAACGAGATGAGACTCGTCGTTGTCAAGTCGAAGTGATGCAAAATGAAAATAATCGTAGATTCTCGGCTAAGCAACTTAAAATTCAAGGAATAAATTAATATTTCTCAACTATAATTTTAAATAAAACTTTATAATAATGAAATGTTAATTTATTGCATTGAAAAATTGCTAAAAATTTGTTGAAAACTTAAAAAAAATGATGGTCAAAAAAATTTTCATATAAATCCACTCTTCAAATTGGTCAAAAAATCTTATAGAATCTATATTCTGCATACCGTATAATGATATTTTGTAAAATTTTTTAGTTTTGTCACTGTAATTTTTGAAAACATTTTTTTTTTTTGTTAACTTACTCTCGATGACACGATTTTTGATTGACTATTGACAATTCAGGAATTGAGAATCGACGAAAGCAAGACGAATTGTGGTGTCACATTTACACGCTTTCTTCGCTATACGTTTGCAATCCCCTCCGGCGAAACCTTATTTTTATTTTCTGGCCCAGTTGCCAGATGGAACCTTTCAAAAGACCCCCCACCCTTCTCTTCTGACACGAAATACGTAACCTATAGCTGCGGGCTGATATTGGGGCAGCTAGCAACATTTCATCTCGACGGTGCATCTTCAAGTGACACGGTTTTCTTTAAATTCTCATGTATATCCTCTTCAAGGCCGAAATGGCTTAAAATCGATTTTTGAGAAAGTAAACAGATGTTGCCGGAAATCAAGTTATCTTCCACCTTCAATATAAAAAATTAATCTCAAAATATATTTGAAAAGGATGCTAATTTGTTGATGCACCGTGCTTTTATTTTTCTCTCAAGATCCGATTCTCTTCTTTACTTTTAAAAACTATGTACTTCATGCATTATTTTTTAATATAAAAGATTCTTCTTTTAACATAATTTTATATTTATAGCTTCGAAAAATATCATTAAAAAACAGTAGAGATTGTCTATATGCTTGCAGAAGTAAATTATAAAATAAAAGCTTTATTTTCTCTTTACTCATTCTCTCATACAAACGTAATCGCATTATTTTCTATTATTTGCACATCCCACTATAGCATTCTTTTGTATGTATATAATTTTAAAATTTAAACTCTGTACAATTTAAATCCTTCAATAATAAAATGATCAGATATCAAAATTAATTGGATGCAATAATAATGACATGGCCCATTAATAAATTGTAATAATGTCGCCGATTATTTAGATTAATTATGTA